GCTCGAGCGGGCCCAGTAATGTCTCCATTGGAGACTTTGTTGTTACTGTGTTTGGCATATCGAATACGTCACGGGGAGCTTGCCAGGCTCTGCCTTGTGGGTGAGATCCTCTCGGTAGCTTGCCGGGCTCTCCGAGAGGGGCGGAGGAATCAAACTCAGGTCGGCCATGTTGGCTGCGTGCAAGGCAAACGCCCTACCGCTGTGCTATCGCTCTAGCCCTGAGAACATTCAGATTCCATTAATCGTCAGCATAAGGATAAATAATCCTTACATTTTTCTTCTATGTTTTCTAGCCTTTTTAAAGATCTTTTCTAACCATATACACACACACACACACACACACACCCCAAATCCACCCCCTTCTTTCAGTTTTAATAGCACAGCGGGTAGGGCGTTCGCCTTACAAGCGGCCAACATGGCCGACCCGAGTTCGATTCCTCCGCCCCTCTCGGAGAGCCCGGCAAGCTACCTAGAGTATTCGATATGCCAGACACAGTAACAACAAAGTCTCCAATGGAGACGTTACTGGGCCCGCTCGAGCAAATCGACGATCAACGGGAGGGCCTTTACCTTTACCTTTACCTTTTAATGTTGGTTTTTAGAAGTAATGACCACCATTGGGGCTGGAGCAGTAGCACAGCAGGTAGGGGCGCTTGCCTTGCACGCAGCCACCAGGGATAATTCCTGAGTGCAGAACCAGGAGTAACCCCTGTGCATCCCCAGTGTGACCCAAAAAGCAGAAAAAAAAAAAAGTAATGACCACATGGAATAATCCTCTTAGAAACTAGCATATTTCACCCCAATTTATCGGAGAGTGAAACATTGAAAAGAGCATATACAAACCACAACACCCTAAAGGAAAGAGAGCAAAGGGAAATGTCCTGCCACAAAGGTGAGGCGGGGTGGGGGTGGGAGGGCTGCTGGGATCATTGGTGGTGGAGAATGGGCACTGGTGGAGGGACGGGTACTTGATCATTGTCTAACTGAAACCCAAGCATGAAAGTTTCTAAGTCTACAACTATATCTCATGTTATTTCACTAATAAAAAAAAAAAGAAAGGAGCATGTAGTGTGCATGGTGCACATTAAGATGGTAAAATAATGCAGTAAGTTAATCATTTCTTAGCCAGATTTGTAGTATTAACCCTTTATTTTCATATTTTCTCTATATTCTATAACAGGTATTAACATGTGGCCTTTGTAATAATTGAGTGTATCTTTTCATCTTGATATATTCAATAATACTTGTCACTGGGGCGTATAAGTTGTGCGTTTTAATTACTTTAACACCATGGTATACCAAGTTGTTCGTTGTACAGTTGTTTCAGGCATTCAGTGTCCCAGCACCAGTCGTACCACCATTATGACCTTCCTTCCACCAATGTCCCCAGTTTCCTACCCACCTTCCCAGGCTACCCCATTAGCATGCACAAATTTACTTCATATTGCTTGTTACACAAAGGCAAATGGAATTATTTTTTTAAAAAAAACGGATCAATAAAAGTCAGTTTGTGATCATTGTTATTATGTCTCACAATGGTGTTGCTTAAGTCTTTGAGGATTTACTGGGCTGGTTGGTGCTAGTTCAGCCTTCTGTGTTAATTTTTTCCGCTCATAGAGTTTATTGGTCTACACAATTTTACCATCAGATTTACTGTAGTCCTACTGGGCTGATAATACTCTGAAATTTGGAGGTGTTGCACAGTCATATATGCAGCCAAGTGCTTCATGAACTTGGCGCTAGAAGGATTTGCTGGCTTGGCCGCGTGAGGGTCAGTTGTGGAGCTGGACTGCTTCTTTGTGAGAGGGTGTCTGGTGTGTTTGGACTGCTGTCCCTTTGGGCAGAAAGGGGGCCTGCCTCGCCCCATTCCAAGAAAACCTAGAGCTTTCAGCCCTGACTGGTCTACTTGAAATTCAGAGGCACTAAATTTTTATTGAATAATTAAGTAAATGACTTGAATAATCACATCAAATGATAGGGGAAAATGCGGAGGAAAATTTGCCCTATCTCTGTTCACTTTCATTGACTTTGCTCTTGTAAACACAGTAGGATCTTATCTGTATTATTAGGAACTTTTCCTTTGCATTTGGAAGTAAAAAGGCAATAGGTGGAAGGACAGCATTCACAAGGAAGAGCTTAATGTTATAGGAATCTGTTTTAATGATTATAAATAAAACCTAGAGTTTGCCAACTTTATTAACCTCGCATTTAAAGGTTAGATGAAAAATTGGAATGAGGTAGTACAGCCCTCTTGTTGACTTATTTTAACTCTGGAGCCAGTGATTTTATTATATAATACCTAATAAAATTTGCGCAGAGCCTGCTTTGTGTTAGATCAAAATCCCTTGTGTTTTCCGACTTAGTCACTCTCCCTAGAGAAGTGAGAAATAATTATAAACAAGGCTTGATTACCTTTTTTCATTGATCATTCTGAATATTAAGAAATGGGATTTGTTTTATTATTATTATTATTATTTGTGTTATTATTATAACACCGTGACTTACCAGGTTGTTCGTAATACAGTTTCAGGCATTTTTTATTTCAACCTTTCTTACTGTTTTACTTAGAAATCTTGGAATTAAGAGGCCTAAGTGTAAATATTAATACATGTTTAAAAATACCATTTACAACGGGTCATATTAGGTATGAGGTGATATAAAAGTAAAATAATTTGTTCTTTGTTTTCAGAAAACATCAACTACTGAGTGACAAGTATATTATACTGAAATGTGTTGTAATATATGAAATTACACCCACCAACTGCCCCCAGCGCCATGTTATCTCATCAATGGTCAAGACCCAAAGACTATAAAACCCAACTCCCAGGGGCTGGAGCGATAGCACAGCGAGCGGGTAGGGCGTTTGCCTTGCATGCAGCCAACATGGCTGACCTAGGTTCGATTCCCAGCATCCCATATGGTCCCCCGAGCACTGCCAGAAGTAATTCCTGAGTGCATGAGCCAGGAGCAACCCCTGAGCAACGCCGGGTGTGACCCAAAAAGCAAAAAAAAAAAAAAAAAAAAAAAAAAAAACCCAGCTCCCAGAAGTGCGCAGTTTCTTATTATCTAGTTCATACTCTTGGAGAACCCGGCAGTCTACCAAGAGTATCCTGCCCGCATGACAGAGTCTGGCAAACTCCCCGTGGCATATTTGATATGCCAAAACCCAGTAAACAATGATGGGTCTCATTCCCCTGACCCTGAAAGAGCCTCAAATGTGGCACTTTTTCAGGGCTAGGACGAAGGAGACATTATTCGTCCCTGCTCGAGGAATTCAATGAACAAAGGGATGAGAGTGATACAGTGATACACTGGCATAATCCATCCCATTCCTTCACTATATTGAAATAGTTAAGGAGAAAACCATCCTTTCCCCCAATAAAATTGCTCATACTTTCCTTATGAAACGTTTTAAATGTCAATTACAGAAAAGTCTAGTAGTATCTTAATCCAAATGGTATTCAGCTAACTATAGCACAGTCCTCCCATTGTTCATCGAATTGCTCAAACAGGCACCAGTAATGTCATGTCAGCCGCTTGTAAGGCAAATGCCTTACCCACTGTGCTATCACTCCATCTAACTATATAAAAAAAAATTCCTTTGATTTCCATTTGTTGAGTCCTCATGAATCAGTATTTAAATCTTGGTGAATATTTGGTCTACCTCTCTAGGGATGATCATGTGGTTTTTATATTTCCTTTTATTAATGTGGTTAATTGATTTATGTATATTGAGCGGTTCTTGCATCCATAAAGTTGGTCTCTTTACTTTTAAAGTATATTGATTTTTTCTCTTCATTTCTGACCCAATTTATCAGAGTTTTCTGTAATAAATGTGTTCAGTGTGGGGGTGTGTGTGTGTGTGTGTGTGTGTGTGTGTGTGTGTAGTAACAATTGAAATAATAACTTAGGGTCATTGAAATGTATTTGTCATCAAGAGCGTTGAGATGGTGATGGTGGTATGTTCCCAAGCAGCGCTCTGGGAGCACCACCAGCAGTTCTTAGCACACTGGGCCAGCAGTTGAATGCAAGGGAAGAGAAGCATCTTAACAAATTGATCTAGTTTAAGAATTTGTGTTTGTTGATTTTCCTCTTATGTATGGTCAAACAAAGAATCACACAAATATATGGAGCACCCACTGCTTTCGCCACTGCTCTTACTACTCTCGGTACCCACTTTCTGTCCATCTAGAAGAAAAGGGGTGTTTGGGTCATAGGTTTCCCCATGAGACATGCAGCCAAGCTAAGCTTTGGGTCTCTAGACTTGTTGAAAATAACCACACTGCAACCAGGTGATTCTGAACTGTGGCATTTGGAAGGGATCATTCAGGACTAGCACCAACTGATGAAAAGATGTGGTTAGAGTTTGGAGCGTAGCCAATGATTTTAAAAGGCTGTTGTTTTCTTTTTACCTATAAATAAGAAATGGTTTGGTAAGTAAGAGCTTGAGGGTCATCCTAGTATTTCAGTTGAAAATGCTTTTGGAAGTGAAATCTTTCAGGGAACAAGGGTTTTTCTGAGTAACTAATCACGTTATATTATCTTCCGGTTTTCTCTTATTGTAGATGATTTTGCTCTTAGGATATATATAAACCATAAAAGGAGTTTATTTGGGGCTGGAGCGATAGCACAGCGGGTAGGGCATTTGCCTTGCATGTGGCAGACCCGGGTTCGATTTCCAGCATCCCATATGGTCCCCTGAGCACCGCCAGGAGTGATTCCTGAGTGCAGAGCCAGTAGTAACCCTTGCACTCCTGGGTGTGGCCCAAAAAGCAAAAACGGGGGGGAAAGGACTTTATTTAACTTTCTATTAAATATTATCAAAAACCTATATTAAAAAATGAATGTAAACTTTGGACTGGATTTTATTAAGAGAACTTGGCAAGGGGACCTCAGTATAGTTTTTCATGTACATGGTTTGTTATTAAGTATCTTGTACTCTTTCTATTGTCAAACAGATTTCATTTAGTAGTAATATGTATTCTACTTTGTATTTAAAGGGTAGTCATTCTACAAAAGTGGAGGCCGTGGTCAGAACTCTGATGAGAATCCAGCGTAGAGACCCAGGGGCTAAAGCACTTGTTTTCTCAACGGTATCGTCTACATTTTTATTCTCACTATTCCTAAGATCAACTCATTGTCGCTAATCAATTTGTATCTGAAAACTAATTTTAATGTATATCACAATGTAATTAAAATTTAGAATTTCATGTTAGACTCCTTTCTATGTCTGTATAGTATTTTTGTGTTTCGTTTCACTTTTAGTAGATGTGCTGCTGAAGCGAGCACAAATTATTTTTGGTTTTGGGCCACACTCAGGGCTTACCCTTGGCTCTGTGCTCAGGGATTGCTCCTAGTGGTGCTCTGGAGACAAAATGTGGTACCAGAGTTCAAACTGGGTCAGATGCATAAAAGGCAAGTTCGTGCCTGGTGTGCTATCTCTCCAGCACCAGTGAAACTATTTTTAGAAAAATTTCATGCTGCTCCACAGAACAATACCTTTAGATACATCTCGCATTTCTAAACCAATTTTATTTATGGATTTTCTTCCGTTAATATGTTTAAAATGGGGTCTGGGGTGAGAGTCCAGCGGATATGGTGTTTGCTTTGTGGCCAACCTGGGATCAACCAACCCTAGCATCCCATACAATTCCTGAACACCGACAGCAGTACAGAGCTTGGAGTAACTCCTGAGTAGTGCTGAATGTGGCCCCCCCAAAAAAAAAATTTTTTTTTTCTTTAATGGGAATTTCTAACCTTAATATCTTATTTCACAAATGAAATTGTTTTTACAGTAGTGGGTAAAAATTAGTTTTTGTGTTCTTTTTTTATACTTCTGCCTAAAGTCTTATTTTTAATTTGACACCATATTTACAAAGTTGTTCATAATAGAACTGTTTCAGGCATACGAAGTTGCAACACCAGTCACACCTCCAGTATCTTGGGGTTCTGACATCCCCTAGCCTGACCTGTTGGCAGGTATATTACAAAATCGTTTCATATTGCTTGCTCCAACAAAACTTCAAAAAGTGGCAGATGGAATTATCAGAAGATAAACCAACAAGTCAGTTTGTGGTGACTAATTCCTATACAATTAAACCTAGACTGGAGCAATAGCACAGCGGGTAGGGCTTTTGCCTTGCATGCGGCTGACCCGGGTTCAAATCCTCCATCCCTCTCAGAGAGCCCAGCAGGCTACCGAGAGTATCCCGCCTGCATGGCAGAGCCCCACAAGCTCCTCATGGCGTATTCGATATGCCAAACACAGTAACAACAAGTCTCACAATGGAGACGTTATTTATTTGTCTTAGTTACAAAAGTAATTTTGGTTTAGTCCTTTTACGAATCTAACATAAAAAACTGAGTAATTTTTTGGTATTGTTTTATGTGTTTTAGTGGCAAGACGTATTAGATATTATTTCAAAAGCTCTCACTGACAACGACATGGAATTTGCACTTATCAGTCGTGTTAAAACATTCCAGGTATGTCTCAAAGATAATAATTGGTGTTTTTTGGTAGTCAATTCAGTTGTTTATTAAAACTACTATAACTAGTGTTCTTATACTTATAAATTATAAAAACAGGGTTTCAGTTTTTTATTATAAAATTCACACAAAGTGAAAAAAATACTTTATTTACACTCATAGCGAGATCGTTTTATTATTATATTAATGTAAGAAAGATGCTTTATGCTGCTGGATTAAATTCTAATGATACTGCATCAAGGAAAACTGCATATGATCAAATTGTCACTACATCACATTCAGAACAATGACATTAACATAAAAGACAATACATACACACAATGTACAGCACACACATGCTCATAAACTAAAAAGATTCATGTCTCGCATTCTGTTTTTTTCTAGAAGTTCAATTAGTTTTGATTTTTGTGTTATCACATATGTCTTACACGTCTTCGCTAAGTCTATACTGTAAAAAACAAGGTAACATACACAACATTTCATAAATCAAGATGCAACAGGTTTACTTCTAAAATTGATAATTACATTCCATTTTCTTAGTTACCACCTTTCGCAATAAACTACAGCATTAGGGATCTTTAAATGAGCTTATACAATACTGCTTTTATTTTTAACTAATCCAACTAAATTCAAATTCACTTTTTTTTTTTAGGAGAATCTCTCGGCATTTAAACATGACCCTGAAATCAATATTTTGCTGCTGCCCCTGCACACAGGATCTAATGGATTAACCATTATTGAGGCAACTCATGTTCTTTTGGTGGAGCCTATATTGAACCCTGCCCATGAGCTGCAGGCCATAGGGAGGGTACACCGAATTGGACAAACAAAGTAAGGGTGAAAATTAACATCAGCTATATTTGCTTCATTGTTACAAATCATTTCAATCTAATTGTGTTCATTATGTACTGTGTTTAATTATTTCCTAATTTAAAATGCTTAAGACAGTTTGAAACTGAAGGTATCCATAGTGACTTAATTGATTTTAACTGTAATCAAGTAGGCTGTGTTTCAAAGTCTGCTTTATATAAACAAATAGCTCCTTTTAAAATTTCTTATCCTGGGGGCTGGCGCGATAGCACAGCAGGTAGCGCGTTTGCCTTGCACACGGCCAACCTGGGTTCGATTCCCAGCATCCCATATGGTCCCCTGAGCACCGCCAGGAGTAATTCCTGAGTGCAGAGCCAGAAGTAACCCCTGTGCATTGCCGGGTGTGACCCAAAAAAGCATAAATAAATAAATAAATAAAATAAGATAAAATTTCTTACCCTTAGTGGGGCTGGAGCAATAGCACGGGGTAGGGTGTTTGCCTTACACGCGGCTGACCCAGATTCAATTCCCAGCATCCCATATGGTCCCCTGAGCACTGCCAGGGGTAATTTCTGAGTGCAGAGTCAGGAGTAACCCCTGTGCATCTTCGGGTGTGACCCAAAAAGCAAAAAATAATAATAAAATTTCTTACCCTTAGATAAGATAACCAGCCCTCTAGGTCCACTCAAAGAGCTCATAAGATATAGATGCATTTACATACACAAACTTGGTAGTGGATATTTCATGGTATGTACTAATTTTGTTCAAATATCAGAAAGAATAGTTATCCTTCATAAGACAGATACATTGCCTACTAGATGTGAGATACCTTGAATGTTTTGGGATATACATATGTCTGTACTTAAGCACTCAGTAAAAATTGGTATTTGTCAAACATTCTGCTAGAGTCTGATACTCAAATTGTTTAAGATGTAATCTATTCACTAAGTAGTTCGGGAACTTGTTGAAGTAGACAGTACAAAAATAAAATAGCAGTACCGTGGTTCCAAAAGATGGGCATGGTCCCTTGTTGCCCTATTAGGTAAGGATGAAGACATCATTAGGAAGAGCCTTGAATAAGTAATTATTTTCAACTGTACTAGAAAAAGAAGTACAGAGGCAGAAACACATGAGGAGATAAACAATATGATACATCGAAGAGCAAATGATCCTTCCATTTTCATCAGGGAACAAAGTTCACCATAAAACATTAGCAAAATAGGACGAATAAATAATTATTGTAAAGTACTATCAAGTCATTCTGAGCATGACTTTTAATCTATTATCTGCTTGTCCATCAAGAAATGCAGCACAGGCAAGCATCGTCAGAACACTGCAGACTCATTACCTGGTTGATTTGAATTAATTTTTGTGTTGTACATTTAGAAACCTTTAGCTATACCAAATTTTTTTGCAGCCCCCTTATTTCATTTTAGTTCAAAGCCCACAGTTTTAAAAAGCTAAGATTTTAAACACAGTTGGGAATTTAGGTGTGGGGGAGTTGTCTTATGTTTCTAAGCATTCATTTTTGTGTCCTTGATATTTTCTAAAGGATTTCAAATGTAAAATTATGGTCTGAAAAGACCATTCAGCACTACCCAGACATCCTATTCTTTCTAGTAAATAGATTTATTTAATTTCTGAGGGTACTCTCTTGAGACTTCTGTATCTTCCTCCCACTGATGATAATCTTACCTCACACAGAAAAACAGAACAGTCAGATTACAAGTACCTCATCTTTCCATCACCAGTTTGAACAGTCTACTTGCATGCTTCATTCAGTACACCTCTCTTGAATTCTTGTTTGCTAAAAACCTTTCTAGGTACTTGAGATGGAGCTTAGATTGTAGTGTTAAGAAGGTGGTTAGATAGTAAACGATGAACATAAAGCAGAATATACATACTGCTAAGACCAGGGGAAAGAGAGGGTTAAAAGTGTAGGTGACAGTGCAGGAAGGCGTTTGAGGTCTTGTGGTAACGTCTAAACACAGACTTCAAAGATAGAAGTCATGCATATACAACATTCCAGTAGATAATACAGCCAAGTCAAAGGCCTTACATCACAAGTATGCCTGCAATGTCTAAGGAAGACCAGGGTGTCAGGAGTTACTGAAGAAAATTATTCAGAAAAAGAGAAGCAGGACATGAAGTCAGTGAATTTGGTGAAGGGCAGTTATATAGTCTTCTGGGCTGCAGAGAACTTGACCTTCACAGCGTGTGAGGTGATGCTTTGAGAACAGGAAGTGACATGATCTAACTTGGGTTTTGAAGGAGAGTGAATTTCATGTTTGATTTTATGACAAAGGTAAGCGGAAGAGAGGGGCAAAGGGACCAGTTAAAAGATGACCTTAAAGTGACAGTAACTTGAGCAGGTTGAGTACCTTATTCAAGGTTACACAGCTGGTAGAAGTAGAGGCATTTTTCAGAACCAGCCATAGTGCCTCTACACGCTGCACTGCTAAAAATCCTAAATCCTCTGGCAGGAGTGAGGATTTTAGGAGTTTTGCTCCGGAGAGCAAAGGAAGCGAGTAGGATCCAAAGGTTTGCTGTTTTCCCTTTCAGTGTTGGAGAAATAATAGACAGATGATTCAGGAAGAAAAGTTAGTGGAGCCAGTGTGGGTAAGGAAGAGTCTGATACCCCCAGGTGAGCCTGGTTTTGTGCAGGATCATGGATATTTCATTTGTAGTAACAGGCAGAAAGACACCTTTCATTTCAGTGAAAGAACATTTCTTTGACCTCAGTGGAAGTTCCGCCATCTGGTTCTGAACTCTGTGCCATCATATTCAAGCTTCTTCCTCTTACAATATGTGACTATAGAAATGTGTTTTGATGTTATCTTTTTAATCTCCATACCACTGAAATTAGACTCATCTATGATCTTACAGATTCTCACCATTGTATCCTAGGCTTTCGTGTCCCTGTGTTCTGTGTCCCATAGTCATCCACCCACCCACCCACCCATAAGCTGTTCCAGTGCCATAGATTTGCACACCGTGTAACCATTTATATTTTGATGCACTTCAAGTGCATGTCTCTTATGCTCCTTTCTCAGCTCTGTGAATGTGGTTCTCTTGACAAGTAATTGTGGACTATACCCTTTGGGTGCCTGTCTAACAGGTTACTTTCACAGAGGCAGAAGCTTTCTTTTCTGCATCTTTCCCACCAGTCCATGGTGTAATGCTCCTTCATCATCTGTGGTTTCTCAGGCCAGAAATCTAAGACTGGTCCATGTTTCTTTGCAAGGCCTAACATTCAAACCATCGTTTTCATCTTGTCAGCTATACTTTTAAAAGAATCTTTTGAAAAGTGCCTGAGGTAGGCAGGGGTGGGGGGTGATGGCTTTGTACCCATCAGTCAGGTTTTAACTCACCTCTGCTTTCTCCTGGGGGGCCTTGGTGCTGGGTAATGTACACTGGTGGAGGCATGGATGTTGGAACACTGTGGGACTGAAACCTTATCATCAACAGCCTTGTAAGGGTCAATTCAATAAAAAAGTAAAAGTTAATTGAATTTTAAATAAGAAAAATAGCAAATGCTTCTCTTCGTGGGAGCAAGTAAAAGAAAAAAAATAAAAAGGATCTTTTGATTAATGTACTTAGGCCCACTGATCTAACCCTAATCCACTTTTTGTTGAACCATAGCTGACCTTCTTAACTAGCGTCTCTGCTTTCTCTTTGGCTGCCTAGCAGTTTATGTTTTGCATAGTAATCAGTGGAGTCTCTGAAGTAGATCAGCTATAAAGCAGATCAGGAATAAAACTTGCTGGTGGCTTTGCATTATATCCACAACAAACTCTGAGAATCCTGTGGTGTTCTGCAAGCCTCTGTGATCTGGTCCCAGTATTCTTCCTGTTTCTCTTTATTCTGGGGCTTTGTACCCATCAGTCAGGTTTTAACTCACCTCTGCTTTCTCCTGGCTTTAGCCGGACATGATATCTTGATTGATTGATTGATTGATTATGTCTTCCCTTATTAGAAAACTAGTTCATTGAGACTAAGCAATTTCTTTCATTCGTCACTGTCTCACCCTTACCCCATTCCATCAGTTGGTTTTATTCATTTCACAATGGGTACCAGTTAACTGATGAATGTAACATGCAACAGGTGAAATCTGATTTGTTTGAAGAATTTTTAAACTTACCATTGTTCCATGCCTTCTAGACCAACTATTGTACACAGATTCTTAATTAAAGCAACAATAGAAGAAAGAATGCAGGCAATGCTGAAAACTGCTGAGAAAAGGTAGGTAACAATTAGTTACAAGTCAGTGGCAGTCATTTCCTTATTTTCCTACAGGTGTGTTTAATTTGAAATTTTCTTAGGTCACCGTAAGATAAAATGCACAGTTCTTAGAAAGTATGGTATGAGATCTTACTTAATCTCATTGTTATACAATGAATGTTTTAGATGTTACAATTTTTACTTTAAAATTTTAAACTAGGGACCTGACAGTAATAAAGCAGATAGGGCCTTGCATGCAGTCAACCTGGGTTCCAACACTTGCATTCCATATGGTCCCCCAAGCACCCTCAGCAGTAATTCCTGAGTCCAGAGCCAGGAGTAACCCCTGAGCACTGTAGCACTGTCCTCCCTGTTGTTCATCAATTTGCTTGAGTGGGCACCAGTAACATCTTCATTGTGAGGCTTTTTACAATCACCACCAGTACTGATTCTTGAGTGCAAAGTAAGCCCTGCACACTGCCAGGTGTGGTCCAAAAACAAAAAAAAAAAGACATTCCTTAATTGTTCATGCAATATTATTGTGCATGTAGCAAACAGTTGGAATCAGAAATTTCTTTCCATTTTGTGGTTTGTGGTAAAAATGCTGCCACAAGGGTTTTCTTGCCTCAGACATGAAAGCATTTTTTGATGTTGTTTTCACATGTAATAGAAAGTGATTGAATTTTAATTTTTTAATTAAATTGCAATTACTTCTTTTAACAAGAAGTTAACTTCACATAAGAAGGTAATTTGTGAAGTAAGAGCCTTTGTAGCAGTTAGTAGGTAACTTAGTTTCTTTGATTAATTGTACAAAGAAAAAACATTTTATGACAGTGCCTGAAAGCAATTTTGACAAAATATAATTGTTTCCCAGTTAAAAGGTTTTTCTTTTTTTAAAAGGGTACAAACTTGCAGGCTATCGAATGTAGCCTGCCCACAGGGCAGAGTCTGGCAAACTCCCTGTGGCGTACCAAATATGCCAAATACCAGTAACAATGATGGGTCTCATTCTCCTAAAGAGCCTTGAATATAATCTCAGGGCTAGGATGAAAGAGACGTTACTGGGGCCTGCTCGAGGCAATCGACAAATGAAATGAAATGAAAAAGGGTACAAAAACTTAGGAAGAAGTAGTTTATTACATTATAAAAAAATAGGGACTACATTAATAGTACAGCATGTGGGGTGCTTGCCTTACACATGGTCTGCCTGGGTTCAGTCCCCAGCCATGTCATCCCCTGAGCATCACCGGGTATAGCCCAAAAAAAACAGAAAAGAGAAAATATAGTGATCTTAAGTATATTTTACTAAAAACTAGAAGCATATAAGACATAGACACTAATTTATCTTGGGGGATTTATTTCTGACTATTATCTCTTGGAAAATTCTGCAGTCATAAAAAATCAGCAGTGAAGAATACAGAGGCGTCTGTCTTGACCGTGGCTGACCTGGCAGACCTGTTTACCAAAGAGACCGAAGATCTGGATCTGGATCTTGACTGAAGTACCCTTAACTCAATCCACACAGTTAAATGTATTTTTAAAAGTTTCATAGCTGTAGATCAAAGCTTAAGTTTAAAAATGTCATGGATGTCAGTAAATACTGTTCTCCGTATTTTTGAGTTTTAAAATTATCCTAATAGTTACTGAATCCTTTTTAGTGTGCTGTTTCCAAAAGCTCTCCTAAGATTTTTTATTTTGCACTCCTAATAAAACATTTATTTTTGTTCCAAAGAAAATATCTGGTGAGGGAAATGAGAGGTAATGTGTGTTTGAAGTAAGATCACTTTTGAAAAGAATTGGACTAAGAGAGAAACTAGTTTCTAGTTTTATATGTCCTGGTATATTCAACCAACCTAGGTCTCATTTTTGGAAATACTTCAGTCTCTTTAACCAATGGTTTTGTCATTATCTTGTTTCAGTATTAAATAAGTGGTAAATTATATTAACTCTGTAAGTTTAAACTATAACTGCATACTTACTAATTTTATGGTAACATGATTCCTAATAAGAGTATTAGGTGATTATTTTCTGTCGCTTCTAAAAATCAAAATGCTAAACATTTCATATTTCATATGTTAAGTAATGTCAGTATCAGCGGTTATCTCAGTAGCATTTCAAGTGTATCAATATTTACCTTTAACTTACATCTATTTTATGGTTGATGTATCTGTAAATACTGTGATTTTTGTAATTTAAGCTTTTATCATAACATGGCGATATGGCAGGTTTTTTTTAAACTGTTCTTTTACTTATATCTTCTACTCTTTTTCTTTCCCATGTTTTTGTATAAATTAAACATTTCATGACTTATCTAAATATTTTATAGAGTTTGTTGTTTTATCCTCTAGTGCTTCTCTCAAGGACTAGTTTGTTGATCTTTGGAACCAGAGAAGGTCATATTAACATAAGCAAATAGTTGCAAGTGATACCATTTCTTCTTCTATGAAGAATTAATAGACTTAAATTGCTAGTTCAGGAGTAGCTTATTATATCCTTGTGTTCTTGTTTTGTTTCCTTTGAGTCTTCAGTTTTAAACGACCCTCAGGACTCATTAGCTCCTACTTAGCTGCCCAGAAAACTGTAATAGAAATATCCCCGGGATCACATTTGTCCGTGAGGCTTTGGTGCTTAGTTAAGGTGCATTTTCTTATTCTAGGTTTGTAGGGTGATATCGTTCAATTGAAGAAAACACACACATTTTTGGTGCTTATTCTTCAGTTGAAAGATGATGTGTTCTGATTCTTTTGTATAAAATTAAAGACAATTATTATTTTTATAGCTCTTTGCATATTATGAAGAGCTTTCCTGTGCATTCGTGTGTATGGTTGACCCATGATTCCTGTAAAGCTCATGCAATGAGTCTCATTCCTGTTTTTGAAGTTTAGAAATCTTAAAGACACGTAACAAGTCAACAGTGGCGCCCACATCCTCTATATCTAAATCTTGTGTTCATTCACAAAATCAAATGTGATGCCGAGGTTCAGAAGGCCAACAGTGGTTATAATTTAATTTTCTTTTTAAACTAATTTCAGGAATAAAATGTGATGTTTTCAATTTTATAAAAGGAATAAAGCATAAATTGGAGAAAAATTGCTCTCATTTATTTATACCATCAATTATATATTTTAGAGGAAATTTAAATTGGGAGATTGGTTAAACTTCTGAGCTGCAGTGTACTTTTTTGCTGGAGGCGTTGGGTGAGTAGTTGATGATTCAACAAATGCTGTCAAATGTTAAAAGCAAGGGTTTTAAACCTTTCTAAACCTGTAGGCAGGTACCAGTGCATAAATCCCATGATTGTGAAGCACTGAGTTAAGCAGCCAGTAGTGAAAAGCTACTAGTTTAGACAGGAGAATTCCATATTTATAGGCATTTGCAGCTTCTCCCCTTCTGTTTATGATCTCGACAGAACGATCTGTGCGTTTAATTTTAGTCCCAGACCTTCGTGCCACTTTAAAAATGACAAAAGTTCCTTACGTGATAATGCACCTTGTAAATACTTTTATAATCAATCCAGTACTTATCACAGTGCTTAGAGATTGAATTTAGCAATGCAAGGTTGTTCTCGGTCCAGGCTGTCAAGCTAGACTTCCAAGGAGACTGAGGAAGAAGTAACGTTTTTAATCTCTTGCTTTCATTTCCTAATTCTCCCAGGATTTAGTGTGCTCACGTGCTTTCTTTTTTATCTAAAGTCACGTTTGAGTTGTCACAGAAAACACCTGTGATAAAGCCCTCGGGCTTGGCAAAACGGAGTAAAAACTGCCCTCCAATTTTTCTTCGCATGAGCAAAATGCAGTAACAATGCTGTCAAAATTTTTAACTGTCATACTAATTATCAAAAGGAAATGTCATTAAAATGGTACAGTATAACCAATGCATTTTAATCTGGTTTGTTCTAATAAAGGAATTTCAATGTTCACTAATACTTTTTTCAAAATGGAATTAACTGTATTTTGTAAAAATTTACAACATCTGTGTAACTGTTACATTTTGAAGCCCACATAGAATGCTATCACATCTAAGGCCGGAATAAGTACCTCTTGCAAACTTTAAAGGAAGAATAGTAGGTACTGAGCACTGCCTCTGAGTTATAGAACAGATAATTCTACGTACAAAATATGTATTTCATCACATAATCATCATACCCTGTTTTTACTTTCAGTCTAAAAATGTATTTATTGCCTTTCATTGCATAATTGTAGACAGGTTAGTGATTATTTTTCCGTAATACTGGCATGGTTCTTTTCTAAAAGCTTCACATAATGGTTGCATCCCACTTTGGTGGGAAGGGGACAGGATTGGCATAAAATCCGTAAGAACTATGTAAGACTTGGCAGGGACCAAAGTTGCTATCGCTGAGCTTCCCTTGTCTTTGGTCAGCCTTCCAGGGACATGCCTTTCTTCTCTTTGAAGATCCCACACTATCCCGCGAGTCCTATTTCAGTATTTATTACCAGTGACTCTCAGACTGATTTCCTTTGTTGAACCTAACTCTGCTATATTGAAACATACTTGTTTCATATTTTGTTCTCTAGCTTGGGCTTTTTTTGCTTTTTTTCCCTTGCAAGAAGAAAATAAAATGTAGCCTCTGTATAATGATTCTTTGTATAGGTGATGATTGTTCTAAAATTGTTCGGTAGCATGTTTTTCTTCCTGCCTATCAGTGACCAACCCCTTTCTTAAAGTTCTTTCTCTCCAAACCTCTTTCTTTGTCTTTCAGTAAACCTGAATTTACATTCTCCCCCTTCTAAGAATCCAGCTGAGCAGCAGTTTTGCCCAAGGACAGATTTTCCTGTGGGATCTTTTTTGAAATGTGTCTTGTATGCCAGCACAGTTCTGATCACTGACCCCTTCAGTGCCTTAAGGAGCAAATATTTGTGCCCAGATTTTATTAGAAATCTAGTTTCTCCTCACTCTATTAATAATTTACTTTGGGGTATATCTACTGAAATCACCCACATTTTATTTCCTTTCGAGACCAGTTATTTTAAATTCACGTCATCTCAATACTTAGAACTAAAAAGGCAACGTCACACCACTTCCATCTCCCACTGGCTTATGATCAAGTGCCACATCAACGCTCTTGTGTTTTCTTTCAGACGCCTCGTAAATATTTTCATTGAGAGCATTTTTCCCTGTTGATCTTGTCGTGTATATTTTCCTTTGACTCTAGTAGACCAACATCTTCCTTGGTAAATGCAGACCTGTTTTTAAAAGGAATGTATTTTAGTATATTAGTGCCTGATCTTGCTTTGTTGTATTCAGAATGTTTATAAATAATTAGCTATTAAACTGTTAAAGCATTATTGTAGAGTGCTGTGTTTTTGTTTGAAACCTCCTTAAAGCATTTTGCTCTTTTAATTTTGTAACTAATAATGAAGTTATCAGTTCTAGCCCACAACTGACCTTTTCTATTCTACATTCACATTCTGTGTCCCAGCATATGATGTGCTTTACATGTTGTTAATAGTGGCTAAATCACGCAAGCATCTAATGTATGCAGTGAATTAAAGGGTGATCTTTTATGCATATAGCAAAAGATAAACAAGTTTGCTTCTTAAGTGGCCTAGTCTTTCAAGATTAAGGTAAAGCTCCTCACTAAGTAAGCCACTTTTTAATAATTCTGTTCTTTTTTTTTCCCCCTTTTCTTTTTGGATCTTTGGTTTTGAAACTCGAGCGGGCCCAGTAACGTCTCCATTGGAGATTTTGTTGTTACTGTGTTTGGCATATCGAATACATCACGGGTGGCTTTCCAGGCTCTGCCGTGTGGGTGAGATACTCTCGGTAGATTGCCGGGCTCTCCAAGAGGGGTGGAGGAATCGAACTCGGGTCGGCCATGTTGGCTGCGTGCAAGGCAAACGCCCTACCACTGTGCTATTGCTCTAGCCCTGTTTTGAAACTATGCTTAGGTATTTGACTGTAGCTTATTTACTGTTATGTAAAGGAGTACTTAGAACATCACCCTTGTGAACTAGAATCGGCAGGCTCCTAACGGAAGAACGGCCTTCTCAGAACACTTTCATTGAGGAACCACCTCCTAATTGTATGCAGGTTGCAGTTTTCTGGAGAGAGTTCACTCTAACAGCCCAAACTAACATCTTTATAGACAGAAGTTGTTTTGGGTTGTCAATAGTTCCAATGCATGTTAATAGATTCCACAGACCCAAAGCTTTGACATCCACTGCCATAGCTTTTTTTTTTCTCTGTGGGAGTTTGAAGGCTGGTCTCTGGTGGTTATGTCCACAGAAACAGCACAACAATGACCCCTGCTTATTCTCTGGCTGCATGAGGTTCGTGTAAGTAGCAGACCTGAATGCAGAGCAGAAGGTGTCACCGCAGCCATCTCAGCAGCAAGTTTTTAATTGTCTTCTATTATCTGTCAGGAACTCAAAGTTTTTTATTATCAGTACAGCAGCAAGAGTATATGCAATTAGTGTATGTATTGGTGGACTTCAGGGCAGTTTAATTTTGCAAATTAACTGTTTAGACATTTTTTAATGGTTGAGAATGCATATAGCAGCTTTTTTTTTCTTTTTTTTTTTTTAACTTTTGACTATGTGTATTAGGGCTGGAGCAGTAGCACAGCGGGTAAGGCATTTGCCTTGCACGTGGCCGACCTGGGTTCAATTCCTCCGTCCCTCTTGGAGAGCCCGGCAAGCTACCTGTGGCATACTTGATATGCCAAACATAGTAACAACAAGTCTCACAATGGAGATGTTACTGGACCTGCTAGAGCAAATCGATGAACGACGGGAGGATAGTGCTACAGTGCTCTATGTATTGAGATACCAGGATTTATAATGTCATTTATTGTACTTTTCAATGGATACATAATTCCATCACCCTCTTTTCTCTACCAGTGTCCCTAATGCCCCTCCAACCCAGTCACACATACCCTTAAAGCTCAGTTTAATAGACAAAATCTGTAGTTTCTTTGGCTTTGGTCATTTGTTCTTTATATCCCATATATGGGTGTAATTTTTTTTTATTGTGGAGGAGGTGATATCTGCATACAAAGACGAAGAAAGTTAAGTTGAAATGCCACAAAATTGTAAATCCTTAAATTGATTTTTTTAATTTAACTCTTTCTGAGTATAAATTGAAGACAACATGATTAGTTCTATTTAATGCATGTTAAATATGCAATTTAGTAAAAATGAGAGAAAATCTTAAGGCGAAAAAAACCCAAATAGTGATATCAAAGTACAAATGTGTGCTTTACTCTAACAAGGGAATATTTTTTATGCTACCACATTTAAATAGCTTTATATTATTTCTTCACATTCATACTCCAAATGCCTAAACAAAAAAGTTGCACAGAAGAAAATGAGACTGTTTGACATATCACTGTGTCCTTTAGTGACCTCTAGTGCAGTATGTATACATCCCATAAAGTCAAGGAGGTCTAAAAAGAAGATGTTGGAAATAGGATTATAAAAGAAACATCTGCTATGAAGATTGCCTTTAGCACTTTTATTCCCATCCATAAATAATGTGGGTGGATGTCACAATGTTAAGTGGGTGTGGAGGCTTTTCATATTATTAAGAAAGAGATAGAGTGAAAAATTGTTGAAACTGGGTTAGAGAGGATAGTTGGTGAGGTGTCTTGCACGTGGCAGGCTCTGTCCATCCCTGGCACCATATATGGTCACCTGAGCACATCCAAGAGTAAGCCCTGAACAACTCAGGATGTAGTCAGGAAAAAAAAAAAAAAAAAACAAGGATTGCCTGACCTGACATGTCTGAGGGGAAGAAATTAGTCACTGTTCTATTGAAAGTGAAGGAGGGACTGATAACATCTAGCAGGGCTTTGATTGTCCACAAGAAAGGAGTTTTGCAATGCAAAATGGGCCCTCAAAGGAGATGATGAAATTGTATCTGAAAAACTTTAAGAAAAGGAAAGGATATTTTTAGGTGCAGGTGAACTCCAGGTTCTTTTTTAAGTCTAGTTAAATAACTGGAATAACTAGTTAAATAACAGATTTCCCATCTTCGAATTTTTTTTTCTCTCTTCCCAAATGCATAGTGTTAACTTCAGAATCTCTAGCAAAGTAGATCACAAGTCCAAATAATTGAAGCTGCTCTTTCCTGTTCTCCAAAATTAGAAAACACGACCAGAAAGCTCGTTCAAGGTTAAACAGGTACTTCCCCTTGCGTATAGCTAGCCGTCCCAAGCAGTCCCAGGAGTGATCCCTGATCATAGAGCCAGGAGAAAGCCCCGAGTACCAGAGTATGGCCCAACCTCCCATCCCCCACCCATTCAGTATCCATAAATAGTGCCTTTGGAAGAAAGTGAACAGAACTTTTGGAAAGGGATTTATCAAGGATTTCAATGAACTCGGTCAAAAAGGCACTGCCTTTATTGGGCTCTTAGTAAGTGGCTGATTTCACTGGTTGTATTAAATACAGTTCAGAGTGGAGTTGTATGTGCTGCTAAAACATCTGCACAGTTTCTGCCATCCGAGCCAGAGAAATAGTTCAAGGCTCAAGGCGCCTGCCTTCAGAGCTGACCCCAGTTGAATCTGGAGCACACATCCCCACCTCCACCATTGGCAGGTGTAGTCCTGCGGGTCATCTGGGTAATTCCTGGCACTGCATGGTTGATTGCCAGGAACCACAGACTCTGACACTGAACCTATGGCACCCTCACCTCGAGCACCACTTGGGAACCCCCTTCCCCACAAAAATCCTGCCCCCCCAGAGGCCTAGCTAAAGTCACGTAATGCAACATCTCAAAACTGCACTGCTCTTGTATCTTTTTTTTCTTTTTTTGGGAGGGTAACACCCGACGATGCTCAGGTGTGATGATGCCCCAGCCCCATCTTTCATTTTTAAGAGTAAGGCGCGGTTTTATTCTTACTCCTGTTTTCGGTATCAAACAACATTATACAAACCTGATTAGCTTTTCATTAGAGCTCCAAAAATTATTTAATATTGCCTAAAGCTGTTGCTTTCTTCGGGACTCTTATGGCTCAACTGTCAAAAGGTGGCTCTGGGGCTGGAGCAATCGTACAGTGGGTAGGGCATTTTCCTTGCACACGGCCGACCCAGGTTCGATTCCCGGCATCCCATATGGTCCACCGAGCACCACCAGGAGTAATTTCTGAGTGCAGAGCCAGGAGTAACCCCTGTGCATTTCCAGGTGTGACCCAAAAAGCCAAAAGAAAAAAAAAGGTGGCTCTGCCCGGAAACCACGAGGCATCTCCTTTGGCAGTCAGAAGAGATCTGATAGAAAGGACAATGAACCATGCAAGGATGCCAACCTCCAGAACAACACAGTGTCTTTTTCTCTTGGATTAGACAGAATCTTGTTTTCCTTTTTTGGTTTGGGTAAAATTCATCTTTAAAACGTCAGTATTAAAATAGACCCCAAGAATCACTAACACCCAAAGGCAATGGAAAGGAAGAGCAGATCTGCTCCTTAGTCCGAAGCTTCCCACAGTGGGGTTCTGTGATGGGAGAGGTTGGATAGGGCAGGGGCATCACTACAACAGTGACGGGGGAAGTCATCAGTCTGGAATCTGGACCAGGACGAGGTGCTGAAAGGAGGGTAAGTGACCTGCATGATACCTTATCAGTGACAGTAGGGTAAACCTGATGTATGAAAACACCGTTTAGTCAAAAAAAGCATTTGTAATCAAATAGTAAAAATTTTGCAGCCATATTCTCTTCTCACATTCTCAAAACTTAAATTCTGATTAAGAAAGCAGAAGGGGGGCGGGGGAGAAAAGCAAAATATTGCCTGCCATAGAGGCAGGCCCGGAGGGCAGGGGGGAAACTGAGGACATTGGCAGACACCAGTGGACACCAGTGGAGGGATTTCTGTTGCTACCCTGTACACCTGAATCATGAATCTCTCAAAATGTTTTTAGGTAAGATAGGCCCCCAGAATGAATTATTTTCTCCAAAATGAAGACACTGGAATGACAGGAAGTCCAAACCTTTCATAAAGTTACTTTAGTGTATTTGTCATTGCCACAGTATTGTAGCTCTAAACATGTGTTTCCTCAAGCAAGTTACGGTAATAAGTACAAAGATAAAAATAGTAGCCATTTGAACCTTGAAAGTTTCCCTCCAGCTTTAATGCACTTTGAATATAATTGTGTCAATGTAAAGTGCACCTGTAATGATTTTATATTGAAATGACTAACAAATACTTTGCATATTCATCCCCGTACTGAACTCCCTCCGAAGAGGAGATGCTCCTGCAAGTACAAAAGACCACTAAGGGTGCCAGAGTGATACTTCAGAAGGTCGGTGTTTACCTTGCCCATGACCAATGGGAGTTCGATCCCCGGCATCCCAT